TACTCATGTATAGTTATGGTGAGAATGGTCTTTGGTTATTATTGTTTATTTTATACGGTGTTTGCAAAAGAAAATGTGACTGTGAGAAAATACATAAAAGGACTTCGCTTGCTTTTCTGATTACTTCAGTTTCAAAATCCATGAAGGAATCTGAATTAGTTTAATATGGGATTGTATTATTAAAACTGGTTGTCAGCAAGCTTTTGAAAGTGAGTCTGTTGAAAAGGGTATTGTCTCCTGTGTTTGATTCTTAAAAAAAGATTTTTCCTTTTTTTTTTTTTTTCCTGCCATATTTATTATATGACACTAGCATTGGTATCTCCCACTAAGTATAGCTCATAGCTCTACCAGGAACGTGTAGTTCTTCACCTCAATTATTCATTCTTCACAACTGCACATGCACATCCGTAATCAAATCGGGCTGTTCCTTGCTTTTCATTTGGAAGTGAGTAATATTGTTGCTTGGCTTGCTATTTGTGATCTTTTCATGCATTGCATTGCTTTTTTACTGGTTATTCTGTTTGTTGGGGGAAAAAAAAAACACCTCTAGCAGATAGTAATTTTTTTGGTTTGGATGAAATAGATCTGACATTCAAAAGTAACATGTTTTTTCTGATGTATTTTTAATCGGGTATCCTAACTGCAGATGGTGTTTATTGAGAGGTACAAAACCAGTATTTGAGATATAGGAGATGTTGTGGTTAGCTTTGGTTTTTCCCTTCCCTCAAGACTGATTGAGAGCACAGATTGTGGGTGTGACTTTAAAGAATGATGCTTATGTTATGCTTCAAAATTGAAATCTCTTAACTAAACAGTTTTATTTTAAAATGTACCCTAGCGCAGACTTTATCCTAAAGGTTCTTAAACGCTAATCTTAGAGTGTATATACTCCTCATTTTTTGTCGAAGGCGGTGTTTCGGAGGATTTTTTTCTTTAGGTATTTATCTGCGTATTCCAGCTCAGTCTCTAAACAAGTGCTATTTGATTTTTGTTTCATTGGCATCTTGCACATACGGAGTTCTGGTTGTCCCGGTTGCATGCAGTTGTCAGGCTCTTGCATCTGTTCATGTAGATTTCCACCTGCAAGTTTTGGAAGGGCGTGCTGAGTGTTCACAGTAGAAACGTATTAATGGGCAGTTTCCCTTGGCTTCTAAGGTCATACCATGAAGTGTGGCTGACTGCACTGGCGTTGGGATCAGCTTTCAAAGCCCATGGGGCCTGTGATGTTAAGGGAAGGAAGGTCACACTGGGAGAAAGTCTGTTAAGACATGGTGTTGCTCCGAACACAATCCCTGATGTCCAGAACTGCTTTAGAGGCTACAGTAGTGGAGCTTCTGTTTAAAATAAAAATATTTTTTTTTAAATCTGCATGTGTCTTAGATAATACTGGGGCCTCCATCTGCAGTTCTGAAGTTTGATTCAAATGGCACTTGCGTGCTGTCTCTGAACTCTGATGATTGCTTTCAGGATGTTAGGTAGGAAATGATACATGAATTCAGGAGATTTAATAGAGAGGAAGTTACAGAGGGGGGCTGCATCTTCAACACCTGTATTTCTACATTGTGAAATGTGAGCTCACGTGATCTTGTTAAAGAGTTCCTGATTGAATTGCAGGATGGGAAGCAGCAAGTTAACTAAAATATTAAGCCCAAACTGACTGCTGATAAACACTGAAAAACTTGAAACACATTCTTTTTATTAGACCCTGCCTCCAGCCTCTTACACCTTGGCAATCTCTGCTCCAGACACTGATTCAATGACTTTGTGGTACCATTTTCAGTACCTCTAGGATGAACAAAACTACAAAAAAAAAAATCAATAACACAAAACATCATTTAGAGGCGCAGCTTTCTTGACGTGGCTGTTGTCTTTATCAAAAATCCATAGAGAAATTTGTTCTTCACCACTGGTAGCTTGAAGGGAGAAAACAATATTTCTTACTGTTAATTCTGTGGATGTGGTTGTTTTATTGTTGTTTCCTTGACCAAATATTTCCATGGCAAAGTGTATATGGTCATCAACTTGGGCCCATATATACCTTTTTGTGATGTTTCAGTACAAGTTTTCCTGCAGGTGTTAGTACCAAACAGTTCTTGTTAGAAGAGGTGACATTGCATTGAGGTTTCTCCATCTTAATAGAGGCTCTCTGGAAAATGCGTCCTTACAGTGGCTGAGGCTGTGTCTGGATCAGCACCTGAATTATGATTTGTTTTTTTAACATACATTTTAGCACATGGGGAGAAAAGCCGCTTGTCTGTACTCTGAGTGAGCTTATCCCTTCTACAGAGAGGAGGCTTATAAGTAGGGTGGTGTGGGATGTGAAGCTGACTGGTTGGGTTTCCTCACAGACCAAGGTGGAGCGGTGCGAGGTGTTCCAGGATCTGCAGCACCCGGACTTGGGTTCACTAGCAAACCCCCCAGACAGCCCTTTGCTCTGTGTGTGAGTGAGGAAGGGCACAGTGAGTGTGGTGGCGTGTTTGTAAATCAGCAAGCACGGACACCTCTCGGGCTTGAGACATGGGAAGCAAGGAGGTAAAATTCATGGAAATGTGACTGAACTTTGGTCCTTGTGTCTGATTCTCTGGGACAGAGTAGTTCATTCTGTTTTCATTTCTGCTCAGTGATACTGATGAAAAGCTTGTTTATGAAAATAAAAACATATGTTTGTTAGATAAGTATGTGTAAAGCCCTTACAACTGTTGTGCTTGAGAAAGCAAGCTGTGAATTATAGCTTCTCTTATGTAAGAACAATCCTGACTTATCACTTCTGTGTTAACTCCCATCACTGTCTTCTGTATGTGCCTATAAATAAATAAGTAAAAAAGGGAAAGCCATTAGAAAATGCCTGCATTACATTTTCAGTGGAACTTGGTCCCTTATAAGGGATTGCTTTTAAATATGGGGGTGAGGAGAAAACCTCATTACTATGGTTTTGGTGTGTGTTTGACTGCCATCAAATCTAGTAACTTCTCAGTGATCTAAGGCAGATCTGTTCTCTAAGGCTTCAGCAACCTTTGTTTTGTTTCAGCACGTGATGACTGGTGCTGTAGAAAATGTGCTTTTGTATTTGGTGTTATATAGGAAATGTGGCTTCTGGCCTCTGGAACATGACATGCCTTTTTATTTTTTTTTTTCCTGGATTCCCTAGTGCTACAAATCTTCTGCCTGTCTAGATGCTTCTTCCCTGTGGTTAAAGAATCTTCTGCATTATGGGTTTTCATTAGCTGAACAGACCTCTTGCAGATTTGTTGGAAGAATTTCAGAAGGAAAGGTTTAATGAACTGCACAGACAGGCTTCTATAAACACATGTAAAGGTTTCTTTAAAGGCATGTAAGGTTTACTTTGTGTAAACATAAAATGAAATATCATTGTATTGCAGTGTATATACTTTTAAAAAAATCTGGTCTTAAAAAAGAATCTCTGCAAAAGATAATAAATATAAACAAAAAACCTCAAAAGACTGTTTACCAGACCAAAGCTAAGAGGAATCTCAAATTTCTCATGTAACCTGAAGAGCAACCGAATACCTCTATAATTCGGTGAAACTTCTCAAGATGTGTATTTGTGATAGATGAAGCTGTTCTGTCTTAAGAGTTTCTGGGTATTTATGTTGTGGAAGGGTGAAGATACTAATTTAAATGACCCCCCCAAATCTTACACTGAACAAACTGCTCAACACTGCTACAGAGTGTTAATAAAAATTCTTTTAAAGCTCATAGTTTCCCACTCAACACTGCTGCAGATTCTATTTAAAAGAATAAAAATTCTTTTAAAGCTCATAGTTTCCCCACATATATACACACTCCCTTGAAGAATGTGAAATCACAGAACGGTAGGAGTTGGAAGGGACCTCTGGAGATCATCTACTCCTTTTTCTCTGATAAGTCTTCTCATTTTAAAGATCTGAGTGCAAATTTCTGTTTCAAAGCTAGGAACGTGTTCAAAGGGAAGCCCAGAAGAGCTTTTGGTGTTCCTTTATATAATTTATCTGCTGATGTAGTGCCCTCTGGTGGGCTACAGCTCTAGGGCACTAGAGGCTTTTCAGCTGTGTGGATTATTCCTGAAATCAATGTATGACTTCATACGTATCTACCTTCTATCTGGAGGGCATGCAAACGATTTTTACTTACTCAGACAAATGCATTGTGCAATTTGTTTTATTCCTGTTTATAAAAGCTTTATGCTACCACCAACCTCTTCAAAGGAAATGGATCAGTGAGATATTCTTTTCCTGAAGAGGATGTTAGGTTCTCAGTATGCATTCTGCAGCACACAGCAGCTGCACAGCAGCACTAATGTCAGTTATGACCTCCCTTTCCGTTGTCCCACACATACTGGCTATAGCCAGTGTCTCACTGGGATACTGGGAAAGTGTGGGGTTTGTACTGCAAGTCACTCACAGAAGGTAAATGTGGGATTTTGACGACTGTTTTAATATAAGGCCTTGTAGTTACACTTATGCAGTGTGAAGTTGAAAGTATAAATTCAAGTCTAACATAAGCAATTTCTTGGAAAATTTCCATTTTCTTGGGAAAAAACCCGCCTGACTGGCAATCTTAATCAGTGTTTTAGATTTTCTTTCGTATAGGTGGTATTTAGTAATCATTTCTAGCTACAGAAATTAACAAACAAAAGCTTTATTTAGTGTTCTGCTCTGTGCATGCATGCATGCAGACAGGGGAGAATGGGAAGATGAAAGGACAAAAGTTTGCACACCACATTTACAGTTCATCAGTTTATTGAATTGGGTGCAGCACCATCGAAATACAGTGGACAGTTCTCTATTCTCCCCTCTTTGCGGGTATTAAATTAGTTTATATTGTAGTAGCTGGTATGTTTTCAACTGATGTGATGGACTGATAAGTGTACATTGTTTGAAAATCCGATTTGCTTGTGCTTTTTTATGCTAAACCCAATTTGCAAATTTATTTCAAAGGCTAGCTCATATAAAATGTTAATGTCTTCAAATCATTTGCAACAATGCTGTTTTTTCTTTAAGGTTTTGACAAAGGGAAGGATGATGGGTCACAAAGTAAAGAAGATACGGCACATTCTATGTCAAAAAGCAAGGTAAGGAAAGCAGCCTTCTAATCTGGCTTAAAAATGTCAATGTGCAAAGGAGTTCTGCATTTTTAATTAGATGCAAATGTATTTAACTTTCGTTGTATATAATCTTGAAGATTACTCTTCAGGTTCCACAATAGATAAAGATTAAAGGGAGTTTCCTAATAGAGTTCTCAGGGTGACATCACATGGAAATCTACAGTTGAAATTAGTGAAAATGAAACACGGAGTCTTCTCACTGTCATCTCGGGGTGGGGTGTTGCCTTGCCAAATGTAATGATGCATAGAGGCCAACTCTTGCTACGGAACAGAATTTAAAATCCTTTTAAGCTGTAAGTGAAGATGCTGTTCATTGAGCTGTAGCATGTCTTCTTATAAGAATGCTAGGGAAATTGTAAGTGGAACAGGTTTAGTTTAATGGCTTAAATTGCCAGAATGAAAAACAGTTAAGTGTAATCTGTAGTCCTGTCCTCAGAATTCAAGTATAGAGGCCCATTTTGTTGAGGCAAAAGAGTGCAAAGCAAAGCATGCTTAGTAGAATATTAAGCTAGATATAATTACTATGCATGTTAAGGCTTTCTGGTAGTCTTGATAATAGAAATAGAAAAAGGAGGAGCCAAATTCATAATCATCGTTGTGTAGTCCCAAGATGGAAGAGCCTCACTGAGATGCAGTGAAAACTGACAATGTCCAAAGTGGAGTTGGGAGATGGACACTGCAGTCACCAAAACCATAGCATCTTGGGGTGGCTAAACTTTAAAAAGGAAGAAAACATGAACTACCTGAGCAACCAAAAAGATTCTTTTCATGTGGAGATCCCGGGTCTTTTCTCTCCAGAGCTGTGTTTTGTTCTGATCATGATTATTTACACAAGTAGTTTGCAGTAACATTCTTATTCAGAATAAAATATTATTTTCTGATGGTATGAAATAGTAGGCACATGGTGAGAGATTTGTGTAAAAAGTCGTTGTAGTAGCATAGAGGAAAATCTAGCATACCTGTCTTTTCCCAAATCCTTTTAGGTTACAGTTACAGAAGCTGTCAGTTTTAGGACATCGTATAGACGGCTCTGATGCAACCTTCTTTATTTATTGGCCTATTGTAAGTCTTAAAGTGCATGAACATTTTGGTCGGCAAAAGTGCCTGGCATATCAATGGACTGAATTTTTGTCTAGTGATTTTTTTGTAGTTAGAATATGGAATACCAGGAAAAAGTCTTTTTGGTTGGGTGTCTCATAAAACAGATGTCTCTTTTTCTTCAAGACATTAAGGATTAAAAAGAGGGAAAGTGCATTTTGCAGAGGGGCAGGTTGTGTATGGTTTGATCACTGAATGCAGTAGCCAAGTTAACTTGTTTTTCTTATTTAGACATCACTGCAGGATAGAGTTTAAAGGCTTTAAATTACCCAGCTGTGTGGTTTTCTATTTTCTGCTAGGATGTCCACTGTTATTTTTACAGAGGCAGATGTGGTAACAGACACTGGAACAGATTGTCAGGCCACAGCAGGCATGGTCTGCCCTGTCAGGAAAGGTGAGGACCTGAGCTTGAACACAGCTAGCTCCCAAGGGACTTGGGGCAGATGCCTGCTTCTCGCCGCTTTCGTACATGGCTCTTTCCATGGTGCTCTGCTGCGAGGTTAGCACTGCAGGCTGCCAGAGCTGGCCCTGGGCACAGGCAGCTGCACCCCGAGGAGACAGGAGTTGCACTCGAGGTCTTGACATGCATTTTTCTGTGGTATTTCATGTGTCAGAGCCTTAAAGAGAAAGGTTAAAGAGATATCAAAGGAAATGAAAGCAACTCAAAGATTATAGTAGCATTTCCCTGCTTAAATGTTGTCATCAGAATTGCACTGCAGTGAGCACGTTAGTTTCTGCAGCTGATGCTGCAGTTTTGTGGTGTGTAGCCAAGCATTTCAAGCTGTTGGTGTCTTACGTCTGACTTGGAATCACAAAACTTTGTGTCTTTCAGCTTTACTGCATCTAGAGCCTCGCTTGTCAGGGAGATCACAGGAGCTTACTTTACCATCCAGCTTGCTTCTGATCAAAGTATTTATGTTGGCCCAGAAAACGCTAAATCATTTTTTACTTGGAAATCAAGTTAATACTGTCTCTTTTAACTTGGGTTTATTTCAGACTCTATTAATCATTTATCTTTGACTATCCAATTTGGTTTTTTCTCTTCCTTATATATATTTTTCTTGGTTCTTGTCTTTCCAGGATCTTAAGTCTTTGTGTGCTTTGCCTTCACTTTTGTCTGTGTCTTTCTACTATCAAAGATGAGACCAGTATTCCTACTTCTAATACGTATTTTTCTTCATCTGTATTTTTGCAATTACTGCGTGTGGGCCTTGATAAGACTAGTGGTTCCTTTATAACCCACAAATAAGCTTCAGGCTAGCAGAAGATGGTAGCTGTCTGTCACAGCTGTGGAGGTGAAGTAGCAGTCCTTCTTTCTAAGTAAGGATGGAAGAGCAGTGATGAGACTTGCCCAGAATCTGGTACTGAATGTACCTCCCAGGGAGTTGCAGCAGGTTCTCTTGAAATGTTTTATTCTTTTAAATTTTTACCCCATCACTTTGCGTGGGTGTAGCACTGAGAATGTTACTAGCTTGAAAATATACAAATTGCGGATCTGTCTCATAATTGGTTGGACAGGTAAATATGGACCTTTACTCAGTGTCATATTAGTGAGCTTTAAAACTGAGATACTGAGAAAATGTGTTTTTCTAACCTGTGATACTTACTGGTTTGGAGCTTTTATGTGCATGACCTTCAGACTGCATTAGCTTTCTGTTAGTCAGCAACTAGAATATTCATGAATGTTTTGCTTAAGTTGCTCCATTATAGCTTGCATAACGAGTTCATTACCTCTTCTTATGTGACAGCGATAAGCATTTTCCCCTCTTCTGATATTACATTTAAAGTACTGTATTTCCTTTAACTTCTAGACAGAGGAATTAAATTTCAAGTTGTATGCTTGTCTTAAAGCTAAACTTTGAGTTTTAAGAACATATCTTTAATACAAAATGAAGGTTTCCTTCATTTTTCCAAGGTGGTAGTTAGAGAACATTTACTTATCGTTGAAATGACTTTGAGATAAAATTACTTTTTGCCAGTTATTGCACGTATCTTTTTGACACTAGCTGTGCAAGTAGACTCCTGTAAAGTCTTATTTCTGAATTAAAGGCATCAAAATAGGATCAAAGGTAAATTGCATTGTTCCACTTGTAAATCTTTAATTTTTATTTCTTTGCTTTGAGCAACTTCTATGTTGAGAGAGTGCTCAAGTGCACTGTTTTTATTATTGCAGTAAGTTTTTCTGAAAGCTCACATATTTTTTAACTGTCATTTTGTAGTATTCCAAAATAAAAATTCAGTGAATAGACTTTGTATTGTGGCCTGAGATTTGAAATGACTGGTCAGAAATGTTGAAGAGCTTTAGAAGCAGTTTTCATTAAACTGTCCTTGAATTTACACAGTTGAGGAAGTTACATTGATTTTTTTTTTTTTTTTTTTAAAAAAGGCTGGGCAGGGACTTTGGGTCCATCAGGCTTATATTTCAGTGCACAAAGAAATGCAACTCTTTGTAATTTATCTGAAGTTTATATGTACTGGATACCTACTCAGTTTTTCTGACTTGCAGTAGGAATGACATGATAACTCTGTGGTACAGAGTTGTTTTGTTGGTTTCTTTTTTTTTTTTTAAGAGCTCTGCATCCCAAGGTGAATGTTTAGTGGCTCTAGTTTCCTTTTAACTATCAGGCAACAGATGCCAAAGAATAAACATTGAACCTTACAAGATGTTGGGAGAGGCAGGAGGGAGAAATCATGTGGTGCTGAGGCAGCATATTGTCCTGCCATGAACAAGGACTTGGGTTTCATAGACAAACCTGAGTCTCATTCCTGTCTATTGCCACTGTGAGCTTCTTGAAGATGACTTGTGAAGTAATCGGAGTGTGGGATTAGGCAGGAAGGAGCAGATCGAGTGCCATTAGTGGTCACTTGTACTCAGATGATTTATAGAGCACTGAATCCTGGCTTGAAGAGTCTGTATTTTCCTTCATGGGTCACGGGGTAAGTGCCTCTATAGCAATCCATTCGGAGGAGCTGTCAAGTTGTGAATGAAAACTCTGGGATTTGTATGTCATGGGAATGACTCTTGTGTTTAAACACCAGGATTCTCCTAAAACCTTCTCTCTGTCCTAAAATAATGCCTAACTAGTCAAGACTGTGACATACCAAGTAACAGGCTACATGGGCTAAATATTTACTGTATATAGTTCAGCTTCTTCTGGAGGAATCTCAGTCTTCTTTCCCATAAAACCCTTATGAAAAAAGACCACATAAATAGGTGGTGAACAGCTCATGTTACAAGTTGTGGTTTGTTGTTTTTGTTTGTGGTTTTTTTCTTTTTTAAGTGGGAGAAACAGTAGAGAAGTGAGTGGGAATGGGAACCTTACAGACATAGCTCTGCACTTCAGACACTTTCTGAAGTGCCTGCAACAGCAATATATCCTTGTATTTATCATTGTAATTTATTTATTATGTGTTTTGTGAATTTCAGTCTGAATCCAAGCTTTTCAATGGCTCCGAGAAGGACATCTCTTTATCTTCAACCAAGCTTACAAAAAAGGAATCTCTCAAGGTGAATTAATTTCCAAGTAACTCCTCATGGACTATAAATGCATTCACATAGTTTTACTGTATTCTCTAATGAGAAGAAAAAAATGCCAAGTAGTGATGAGACCTATGGACTATTTAAGTATTGCAAAAAGTTGTGGCATTGATTCTCTTCAAATCTTATTGTACTGTTACTTGAGTACGGGCTTCTATAATGCAGTGTTTAAGATGGCACAAGATTATAGGATAACTCAGGTTGGCAAGGACCTCAGGACTTCTACATGCAGTGAAGAGACAAACTGAATTATCAGAGTTACAATTCACATGCAGCACCTGTGGTTTTTCTCCTGCCATCTTCTGCCTGTGTTGTGACAAGACAAAATGCCACTGTTTGGCAGATACCAAGGAAGTATCTGGAGATGTCAGGAGAAACATAAAATTATTTGCCTCTGAAAGAAGGAGGTACATTGCTGCAAATTTCTTGTGGGGAGGGAAAGTAATTGGTGGGTAAAGACTACTGATCAGATAATGTACCTGTAAGTCTGAATCTAGCCCAAATTTTGTTTTGTACTTTACACCAGGAGAAGAAGAGGCAGAGGGGGTTTGTTTGGTTGGTTGGTTTTCCTCCTGTGATTCAAACACGAGTTTCAAAGTCCTCAGTCTTAAAAGCAAATTGCAGAAGAATCTGGAATTGATTACATCATAGCTGCTATTGAAACAGAGCATGAAATAGTTGTTCACACCTTGAAATCAGATACTGTGTTTTAAAGCTAATTCTCCGTGTCTGTATTGCAAATTGAATTCTGCAGGTTTTTCCTCAGCATATATTGATAGATGTCTTTGTGCTCTAATTACTGGCTTATGGCTGTGGCATTTTAAAATTTTTGTCATTATTTACAGGTTCAAAAGAAAAATTACAGAGAAGAAAAGAAGAGAGCTACAAAGGAATTACTTAGCACTATCACAGACCCATCAGTTATTGTTATGGCTGACTGGTTGAAGGTCAGAATCCAAGTGTGAAACCTGAGTTGAAGATGTAGCAGCTGCTTGCTGCTTTCTGCCCAGAATAGAAAAGGCTCAATCTTTTACTTGCTGTTAATGTTTTTCTACAAGCACAGCAGCCACTGATTGCATCCCAGGGTTTCTGTGGTCAAATCCTAGGGGTATAATAGAGGAACCTAGCTCCCAGTCACTGTGGTCGCCATAGTCACATGCATCTCGTGTGTATAGCCATTAACTTCAGATGAGTTGGCTTTACAAGTCTTATTTTGCCCTTTTTATTTTACACTTTGAATTGAAGCTCTGTTACATCTGTAACAATAGTGAAAATGGTTCAGGCATATTAGATGTTTGAATACGGATTTCTTTGTGTATTTCTGGTAATTTTCCTTGCCTCTCTTAAGAACTAACTGTCCTCTAATGCTGGTACAAAAGGTGAGGAATTAATTTCTCAAGGATAGCAGTCAGTGTCATCAACAGTAGTGCAATTTATATATCTGTGTATATGTATTTATATATATACACAAATTCCTTAAATTTGTAAATAGATTACGTGGAAATTCTACAAGAAAAAAGATCGGTTATCCATTTTATAGTTAGTGCCAAACAGTAGCTTGACTGGAAAAAGTTTCTCCAGTTTTTGCAAAAATCCATGTAAACAGGCTAAAACATTGCTCAGAGGTCAAGTTGGTGTGCAGTCTAACAGACGCAGAAGTAATTAAAATCCAGAGTTGACAGAATTGATGCAAGCAGTCTAATCATATGTGCAAACCTAGGGACTTGAAAGGATCTTATGTTTCACATATGGGTTGAAGCTAACAGCCGTTACAAGAGGTTTTATCTAAGAAACTCGAATCTGAGTTGTTTCGTGAATATCCTATTTTTCTTATCAGACGTCTGCCTTGTTTTCAGAGGAGCTCTGTTTCCGAAGATTATCATGTCTTCATGCTAGTGATAAAATATGTTCCAGATAGGAAAATTCATGAAGGTTTCAGATGAATTGTCATACTTCCTGTGTCTGGATGTGTGTATACCCATTTGTAGAATAAGTATTCACCAAGAAAGCATGGAAGAGCGAGTGCTGAAAATGCGCCTTTGTGTTGTTTTTGATAAACCTTTATAAACTTTTGATAGACCTGATAAAATTTGCTTGAAATAAAAACTAATAAATCATTTCAATTTTAATTTTCATTTTGTAAGGGGAGTGGTTTTGTGATTGGTTTAACTGAGATATAACTGTAACGATTTGTGTTCTAGATTCGTGGTACCTTGAAAAGCTGGACCAAACTGTGGTGTGTACTGAAACCAGGAGTGTTGCTTGTTTACAAAACCCCCAAAAATGGCCAGTGGGTAGGAACGGTGCTCCTGAACGCTTGTGAACTCATTGAGAGGCCTTCTAAAAAAGATGGCTTTTGTTTCAAACTGTTTCATCCTTTGGAGCAGTCCATATGGGCTATAAAGGTTAGTGGTAGCATGTATGTTCTTAACAGATGACTAGCATTAGCCAGCTATGAGTAAAGACAACCTTAATGAAAAGCTGAACTGCATTTTCCATCATAACTTTAATGGTTTGTTTATTCTGAATATCAGCCTTCAACATCTAGTCCTCTTCATCACAAAAAGTATTTGATTTATGCTGCTGTGTATACTTAAATAGCTTCAGAAGTGTGGTGTGCAGAGGGATGCCATTAAAGAGGTTAATGCCATCACTGGCAATCGTGTCAGCGGGGGGAACGAGTGTATAATGTTTTATTTTACATCAGTCGAATCTGAGAAACTAAGGAGGGAAGTGATTTGCCAAAATGAAAGAGTTGAGATATGTTTCAAACACTTCTTGGCTTCCAACCCTATATTCAGGTAATAAAATGTCAGCCTAGTTCAATTTGCTTGTAAGAGTAGAAATTCAAATTACTTCCTTGTGCAATAATAGCTTACATTGCAACTTTTGTTCCTTTTTGGCTACAATTTTAGGAAGATAAATGTTTTCCTTCAATTCTGATGTCTGTTTGCTTTGTCATACATAGCATAATATTGTGAACAGCTCTTATGTGTAGCTGTTGGAAAGCACAGTGTGTTCTGCACAGCAAAGATTTATTTTAATTTATTCTAAGAATCTTTAATGTTTGCTATTACTCCTTGTTTATGCTCTAGTAAACAAACTATTGTAGTCCTTGTTTTGTGTTTGCATATGGAGAGGGGGTGCGGAAGCACAGCACAAGTGAACATATTTGTGTCCTGAAATGACATCTTGCTTTAGATGAAATTACTGTACAATATTAGGACCCTTGTCATAATAAATTAATTATACTCTCTGCAACATACATCTTAAGATAGCTACTAATTGTGAGATTATATCTTCTGAATTTTAATTGATATAGGTGTACTGTCACATCTGTAGAATATGCTGCATTGATTTTATCTTCCTTACCTCAGACTGGGAAGTCAGTCAGCTTATTTAATTCCTGATGCTTGTTTGGTCTTTCTGAGTTGTTATCAATGTTATCTAAATTTACCAAATTTAGATCAAATCTTTTGTAGTTGCTTTTGAATGATTTTTTAGTTTAATGTTGCTTTGGAGGACTTTTCACTAATTAGTGGTGATCTCACATTTGCAGAACACAAACTTCATATCCTTTTTCAAAGCTATAGGGTTTGGTGTTAATGTGCTTTAATTATTTATGAACGTGTATACATACATTGCAAAGTGGTGGCCTGTCTGCAGAAGATCACAAATCAGTCTTATATTTCTTTATTGCTTGGCAATGAGAAATGGATTTGTTTGTTTTTTTAACTAGATATTTAGAATTTAGAGGACATGCCCCACCAGATTTTTACTTTTTTAAGGTAGGTCAAATTTTGAACCTGAACAAGTTGATATTGTCCATTCTAAATGTGCTGAGAGCTGGAGTGGCGTTTGTTCATTTTGGTATGGCTATTTGCAGTTGAGAATTACTGGATTTAATTAGATGAAAGGCCTTGAAGCTTGAAACCTTCTTCTGCCTTGTTTACCTAGTCAGTTATAATGTCCTTGTTACAGATCTATTCTCACGAGGCAAACTTTCATAAGCGTAATAGCAATTGACTGATTTACAGAGTAGATTTACCATAATGAGCCTGAAGTCTTAAGACAAAATGAGCCTTGTTTGCAGTCAACGCAGGCAGATGACATTGCAAGAAACATTTACAGAAGTATACGTACTGCAGGAGATTTTCCTCACTTGAACACACTTCCCATAGTGTGTCCTTCTGGCAGGCTGCAAATTCTCTTCTGCAGTAGTTTGTGGCCAATCACTTCACACGCTCCCTTAAGCCTGTTGCTGTGGTCTTTGATGTTCTTCCTGCACTCTGAGGTAGCTGATGCGCTGTACCTTGTTCAGTCTTCCTCATGTGCCTGGTCCCGATGCCATTTCAGTTTTCTAAAATTAATAACTAGAAAAATAACTGCAAATAATTTTTCATGAGTGAGTTTAGTCAAGTGTGACTGCTTATCAGTTTTTAGTGCTTCCTCCGAATGTTCATGGCATTTGAGTTTTATTGGCATGAGTATTCTGTAGGAAGTAAACTTCAAAGTTTTGTTTAATCTCGTGGAATTTTTAACTTGCTCATTACGTTGTATTGGAGTAGTTGCACCATCATTGTCAGTAACAGACAGCTCAAAAAGTCACCTAACAACTAGAAACTAATGTCTCTCTTGTACAGAACACTAACGTACTGAGAACTCATTTTGAAACCATAATAGGTGGTCTCAAAGAAAAATGTCCAGTGCTTTTGGATCAATAATCAATTAGAGGAAATCAAGATTCATCAGCAGTTATTCCAAAATAAGTCAACCTACTTAAATGTTCGCTGCGAATTATTCATTCAGTTTTAATCAATGTATTATCAAAGTACCTAGGGGAGTATAGCTTTCTTGCATTAAAAACAAGACGACAAACACCAAAACCATACTTCATCTCTAAATTGTAGTGATTTGGTACAGAGTAAGTAGTGTACCCTGCATGCCCACAGCATAACCCTACAGGGGAGATCTCTTGAGCAGAGGTCTGCCCTTGGTCCGTCTCCTGTGACCTGAGAGTTTCGTGGACTTGTGATGGCCGAGGCCTTTGCACGGCACTGGTGCACCCCTGGTGCTGCGGTCCCCTCTGTGCAGCGGCCCAGCACCTCTCCCACCCCTACCTGACGCTGCACTGCCCCTCGGGGTGAGGGGTGCTCATGCATAGGATTGTCCCTCCTGGTTCTCCTTACCCGCTAACTCCTAATCTCCATGTTGCTGCTTCACCAAAGATTTTTCATAGGCACACCTTCCACTCGCTCAGAGGGGGACTGAGGTTTGGTATCTTGTTTCTAACACCCAAGTTGCTGTTCCTCCATACTGAGTATTCAGGAGTTTCTGAACATCATTTACACCAGCGCTAGCTTGCCTGTATTGGTATTTAAGTGCCACCAAGACTCCTTGTTACCCACCTCTCACCTTCAGAAACGTTCTGGCTGTTTCATTTGCTTGCTTCTAAAATATCTGCCTTTATCTGCTTTTGCTCAAAACTTCTGCTGGCTTTCCAATTCCCTCTTCTAAGCCTTGTACCAGCTTTTCATAAGGCTTCTCTGGGGGAAATTAGTCAAGACCAAAATGTGTTAACTCATCAGTTAGGCAGGCTTAACCCAGCTTTCAATGATAGCTTCAAGTATGTTTAATACAGCCCTCTTTGCCTATCAGTTGTCTTAAAGTTACCATAGTAAACTTTTTTTGAAGGGACTTTAAAATGGTTGTTTAGCATTTTATTCCAAAATGAAGCTTGACAGAAATGGAAAGGTCTTTTGGATTATTTTTTGTTGTTGTTGTTTCACATTTTTTAATTTGGAATGTGAAGAACTTCATAGTGAAAATTAAACTTTGGCATTTGACATCCTCTGTGTGTCTTTTGGTTGAACATAATGTCATGGTGTCCTGCTGATAGCCTTTATAGAGAGACTTAAGCATCCAAATGTCTTCTATGGGGCATCATCTTGGGTTTTTTTCTTATTTAAATACCAAGCCTACAGCTAGGCACCTAAATATTTTGTGGAATAGGATAGGTAGAGAGGTTGAAGGGGAAGGAGGGAAGGAGAAAGGATGAGTGGGTTTCTGTAGCAATATGTAGTGTCTGGGTGGGAGGAGTTATTTCCATTTTATTTAAATATCATTTGACTCATCTGTCTTCTGAAGATGAGTGAAAATCGTGCAGTTGTGGAGTATAGGATACTGCTGAGATGCCAAACACATTGTCATGTAAAATAAGCGTGAAGTGGATCACTGAAGAAGGCCTCCCGTTCTCTGCAAGCGTTTGGCTTGCCCTCATGTCTCTCTGTGCTATGAACTGGGGCATCCTTGGAGGAACTGAGGAACCTTTGCTCTCATCAAGAACAAATGGGACTGGAGGGGGGAAAAGCCAGCTGCTGTACAAATGCAGGGTCTTCTACTAGGCAGCATTTGTTGTAAATCAGGTCTCTTAAACCACCCCACAGACATGCCTTTGTTTTGCTTGCTTTCCGTCTTAACCTCTTCAGCTGAAATACTGAGCTGAAGAGGAATAGCTTGTCCCTTGTGATCTCTCTACACCCGTCTGACAGTGAGGGTCATTCCCCCCATGTTCCTTTTGATGCTTTTGTCATCTTGCTATAAGTAGCATCAGCAGAGCATTTCCAAGTTACTATGGCAAGTCTAATTTACGAAAAAACCAAAACAAACCAAAACAAACAAAAAAAAAACCCACCAAAAATTATTTGAATCCCAAAGACCATTCTTTTTTTTAAGTGGGGTTGAATGGGGAGCTATACTTAGAATGAAATGTTTGAAGAAGAAATCCAGTAAAAGAGGGCTGTCCATCTTTCCATTCGTCTTCATTAGATGTTGCTGAGTGACAGTAAATAGCCCTGCAGTGTGTCAGCTTGTTATTACATTGAATGATAAACTGTAAAACTGAATTAAAATGTCTGATGCTGTTCCTTGTTTTGTGTATTTCAAGGGTCCCAAAGGTGAAGCAGTTGGTTCTATAACTCAGCCATTGCCCAGCAGTTATTTGATCATCCGAGCTGCTTCAGAATCAGATGGTAAGTGGATATTTCAGTGGTTTTCTGCAGTGAAAGCAGATAGTTATTAGAAAGAGATAGTTTCATTTGTCTTGTCATGTCTATTACAGCATTGTGATTGCAGTTTAACTGTTGTTAAGGTTCTCCCATTCAGTTGTGTTTGCACTAGTAGTTTTTCATGGTTATTAAAGGAAAATTTTGACCTGAAGAAATGGTCATTGAACTCCTTGCAGTTGCCTTGCATTGGCTGGGTAGAGGACGGCAAAGGGGTTATTTCTGATTTAACTATATTAATGTATATCTAAATACACAAGCTAGTGCCTTTCTAAAGTGCTAATGTGGACATACTTTTTCTAATGAAGGCATCCGTATATTGTAAAGTGCAGCACTTGCACAGAGTTCTAGTAGCAAAAATTCCCTCAAAATATAGTTTCGTAACACCATCACTGAGAAGGCATAGTAAAAATTCCCTCAGAATATAGTTTCGTAACACCATCACTGAGAAGGTAGTGGTCAGTATCAGTGCAACCATCTTCAAAGGTTACAATGTGGAAACCAAAATTTAACTGGTGTGTAACCTGTCAGGCAGCTGTTTTCCTTCTACTGGTTAATTAAGCATACCCCTGCAGACTTTAAAAATAGGACTCTATTTGCCTTCTGTATTGAAAAATGGATTAGATACATGGAAATGAAGATACAAGGAGCGGAAAGAACACACAAATTTGTTTAGTTACTTGTTGCCAAAAAGTATTAGTATATCTGCTATTTTATGTTGAAATGACATTTATACACTACCATTACAGCTCCTTTTCCACATTGTTATTGTATTGAGCAAATTTTGCTAACTGGTGCAGTTCCTTAGTCTTCAAAACTAGAGCAGGGCACTAGTTGTGAGTTGTTTTTATGTCCCTACAAGATTATAAAAGTCCAATGCATGTAACATGGAACAACTCTGAAGTACGTCTTCAAAGGCAATGTAAGCAGGCCCAAAATGATTGTAAAATTAGGAAATAGAAGTTGTATAGTTCAGTTAAATCCTTATTTTTTAGTCTAACAATAAATCTATCTTTAGGCAGGTGTTGGATGGATGCTTTGGAGCTGGCGCTGAAATGTTCAAGTCTGCTGAAACGTACAATGATTAGAGAAGGTAAAGAACATGATTTGAATTCTTCAGCAGACAGTACTCATGTCTCTCTCTATGGTCTGCTTCGTGCTAACAACTTACACAGTGGAGAAAACTTACCGTAAGTGAATTAATTACTAAACCTTATTGTCCTTTTGGTAGAACCTTGTAGAGATAACTTCCTCACAGGGAGAATCTCTTTCTAAGGTTGCACTTTTTGCTCCTGAGTTCTCTTTGTACGCCTTGTTTGCACTGTGTTTTATATCGTATGTGGATAGAATGAAAAAATCTTTTTTTAAGCAAAGTGGATACAGAAGAAAGTTTGGCCCAAGGAACTCAAAAGTTAAGTATCACATCAGTAAGTTTACTCAGTTAAACTGTTAAAGCTTTAATTATTTTGTGTCTTGAAGTTGGTCTCTCTTGTTAGCTTCATCTGAAAATAAGAAGTTTAGTATGTGTGACAAATGGTAGATGTGAATATAAGTCGCTGTTCTTTGGTTAAAGAAAAGAATAATCCCATTGTTATTTAAATGGTTTCAGCATGTCTCAGCTTTGGATCATCAGATGGATGAATAATAATGCAGTGACCCTACTATTACATGAAATTAAGGGCATAAAAGTTGAAATTATTTGCTATCACTTGGTATATCTAATGTCTGAGTGCCCTTGAATAAATCACTGTTTATTTCAATAAACACTTTCAGCCAGATTTTGGGGAACTTAAGCTTTTGTGGAAATACATTATTAACAAGCATGGAAAAAGAATGGTATTTTCAAATACTTCAATTGTGGTACCAAAGTGCATTACAAAATATAAAAGATTTAGTTCTTTATTTGAAATAATTGAGTCTGAAGCTTGCACTATGAACAGTTTCTCTCAGTAATCTTCCACCAATTTGATGTACTTTCAGGTGGATGTAAATTTATTTCAAATAATCCCTCCCATCCATGAAGGTTTAGCTGCCCGTCTGTCTTTTCTGAGTGGGCAGGAATTTTGTACTGCTGTTAAGAGTACGCTCCTATATTTGAGACAGAAGACCTGGACTGGGAGAAATGAAATTCTTCCCAGCATAGATAGCCTGAGAAAAGCACAGAAAAGACAATTTATTGCCCCCGGCCCAGATTCAAGGCTCTATCCAGATGACTAAGCAGGCTCAGCTACAGTTTTGCTGCTTCTGTTATCTCATGGAAACAATAGAACTGCTGTGTACAATTCAGCTGGAGATCTGTACTCATGACTAGTAGTTTAATAATCAGCAGCTGGCCCAGATTACAATCACAGCAATTAGCTACAACTGTTAAGTCTAATTAAGACTAATGGTTTAATTAAGTAGATCTTTGGATATAGCATATTCTAAAAGTATTCAGTGTGCTTAACTATCTAAGCAACAAAACCTGCAGGCCTAGTTTTAATGGGGTTAGCAGGAGAGGGAGAAGAAACGTGAAAAGAATTCAGGTTCAACCAAGAGCTAGCTTTTTTAAGTACGTTAATAGCAAGAGGAGGTCTAAGGAAAACATTGGACTGATACTTGATGAAGATGGTCACCTGAGAAATAGAGATGAAGAAAAAGCAGAGACATTCAATGATTTTTTTTGTCTCAGTCTTTAATAATACTAGTAGACCTTGGGCTGCCTGGTCCTCTGAGTCAGAGGACCACAAGTGTGGGAACAGTGACTTTCCATTTGTGGACACGGAAATTGTGAGAGACCAGTTGTATCAGCTGAATGCTCATAAGTCTGTGAGGCCTGATGGGATTCATCCCAGAGTACTGAAGGAGCTAGTGGATGTTATGGCAGGACTCTTCTTGACTATCTAAAGGTCTTGGGAGTCTGAGGAGGTCCCCACTGACTGCAAGCAAGCCAGCATTATTCTGATTTACAAGAAGGGTGTGAGGGAAGACCCAGGAATCATGGAATGGTTTGGAAGGTACCTTAAAGATCATCTAGTTCCAACCCCCCTGCCATGGCCAGGGATACCTCCCACTAGACCAGGTTGGTCCAAGCCCTATCCAACCTGGCCTTGAACACTGCCAGGGAGGGGGCAGCCACAGCTTCTCTGAGGTACCTGTTCCAGTGCCTCACCACCCTCAACTACAGACTTGTTATTCTAACCTCAGTACCTGGAAAAATTACGAAGATCCTACTGGGTGCTATGGAAAGACATTATTTAAAGAAGAATGCAATCATTTGGCACAGTCAACATGGGTTCACAAGGCAAAGTCCTGTTTAATTAATTTGATACCCTTCTATGATAAGGTCACCTGCCTAGTGGATGAAGGGAAGGCAGTGGATGTGTTTTTTCTGGATTTTAGTGAGGCTTTTGAGTCAGTCCCTTACAACATCCTTCTGGACAAGTTGTCCAGCTTGTGAGATGAGCAGGTTCACAATGCGCTGGGTGAAGAACTGGCCAAATGACAGGACTCAAAGGGATGTAGCAAATGGGGCTACGTCTGGTTGGTGACCAATCACTAGCGGTGTTCCTTAGGGCTCAATCCTGGGGCCCGTTCTGTTAAATATTTTTATCAATGACCTGGATGAAGGGTTTGAATGCACCATTAGCAAGTTTGCTGACAATACCAAACTGGGAGATGCTGTTGACTCTCTTGTGGACAGGAAGCTTTGCAGAGGGATCTAGATAGATTGGAGCATTGGGCAATCATCAGTGGCATGAAATTTAACAAGAACAAATGCTAATTGACAGTAGGCACAATACATGGTGTGCACTGGCAGCCAAGAGGGCAAACCGCATCCTGGAGTGCATCAAACACAGCATAACCAGCCAGTCAAAAGAGGTGATTATCCTGCTGTATTCAGCATTGGTGAGGCCTCACCTTGAGTACTGTGTGCAGTTCTGGGCCCCACAATTTAAAAAGGATGTAAAGGTCCTTAAATGAGTCCAGAGAACAGCAACAAAGCTGGTAGAAAGGCTGGAAGTCATGTCCTGTGAGGAGTGGCTAAGGACTTTGTGTTTGTCTGGTTTGGAGAAAAGGAGGCTGAGGGGCGACCTCATTGCTCTCCACAGCTTCCTGAGTAGGGGACATGGAGAGGGAGGTGCTGATCTCTTTTCTCTGGTATCCAGGGATAGGACTCGTGGAAATGGTTCAAAGCTGTGCCAGGGGACATCAGATTGGACATTAGGAAGCATTTCTTTACTGAGAAGGTGGTCAAACACTGGAACAGGCTTCCTGGAGAGATGGTCAATGCCCCGAGCCTGTCAGTATTTAAGAGGCATTTGGACAATGCTCTTAGTAACGTGCTTAACCATTGGTCAGCCCTGAAGTGGTCAGACAGTTGGACTAGATGGATCGTTGTAGATCCCTTCCAAAGGAACTATTCTAAACTTGGTGTGTTTGACAGCTCAGTGAGAAGAGTACAGCCTATACGTTTCCAGTGAAGCTAGTTTGACATTGCTGCCAGATCAGGCTTGACATTCACAATTTTAGTGTGTATTTTATCAAGATCCTGGTTTGGAAACATGAAATTACTGTTTGAAGTTGAAGATTCATTTAGCCTTTATTTTTATGTAGGTTGAATGACAGTGAAATTGAAAGGCATCACTTTAAAGATCAAGATATGTACTCTGACAAATCTGATAAGGAAAATGACCATGACCACGAGGAATCTGATAATGATGGATTGGGGAAAAGCGAAGAAAGCGATAGCGACACTTCGGAGCGACAGGATGATTCTTATGTTGACCCAGAACCAATTGATATCAAGGAAACTACTTATTTAGAACAGAGTCATGAAGAACTTGGAGAGGTAAAAGAGCTGTTGATGTAGTGGGCAAGCAGTTTCTCCAAATAGAAAGCTGGTATTTTAGGGGTCAGACTATGCTTGAAAGCTGACTTGCAGGATTTGCTTCCATATTTTCAGCAATAACGGGAGAAAGGAGTTCTGTTCACCCATGTTCTGCTTTGCTGTGCCACTCTTGTGCTCGTGTCTGACATTTTGACAGGGATAATGAGGTTATCTGGAATATTGCTCAGACAGAAGGTGCTCGGTTTGAAACAGCCACCTGCAGCAGAAGTTGACCATGTCTACCCATCCTTTTGTTGTTATTGCTATTTGGTTTTTATTAACTTCAAGTAAAAATCTTCAAGTTGAATACTTTAATGGAAGCTGACACCTCTTTTTCTACTGCAAGAGAGGAGTTAAGCAGCCGTGGTGTCTGCAGAATTCAGTGGAAGGCTTGCTGTGTTTCTGATGTCACCTTGCATTCTAATATGATGCCCCAGAGCTGCCATTCCACTTCTGCAGGATATCTTACATATCTACACAGGCAAATGTGTCAGGAATTTGCATGTTTTACTTGCTATAAAGATACCAAAAAACTTAGTAACAGAAATTGAGAGGAGCTTTTTCACAAATCACCCCTTTCTTCTCAAGTGTTAACAGTAAGATTTTTTTTTCATACTTATGGGACTTAAATACTTTGTGCCTTATTGCTTTCTAGTCTTGTTTCTAGAAGAAGCAGTAGTTCAGGAAAAATTGAGGAGCTTAAGTTGACAATACATTCTTGAGTATGTGTGTTAGAACTGTTCTGGAAGGAGGGATGCTTTTCCTACAGAAGAAATTGCTTTTCTTACAGAGAAAGGGGAAAAATATCTCCCCTCTTCTTGAACAGAAAGGAGCATATTGGAGTGTGGCTGCTGATTTTGCTACACCACCCTACACAGTGGTTTTCTTTAAGGAAAACCAGTGGTATTATTGACTGGTCAAGGCATTGAAAAGCATAAATGTGGCAGCTTTCATGGTGGGGAAGAGTTGGTAGGATGAACAGCCCTTTGCTATATGAGTCCTGTGTGTGAGAACAGAGTAATGTACTTGACGCCTAGGAAAGGACTAAGGGAAGAATTCTGATCACCATTCTACCTCAAACTTTTCTGTTTTAGGGCTGAGAAAACTAATGCTGTTTTTAGTGCTGGATAGTGTATCTGTCATACTTCATTAAAGATGTATCGTAAGCGTATTTAGAGAAACTTGATTTTTCTCCCATAGCTGCTTCAGCTTCTCTGAGTGGTTCATTTTAAGTATCCACTTTCCATTCTTGTTGCTTCCTTAGAATGTGTTGACCTGTCTTCTGGAGGATTATTTTCTTTCTCCTTTCTATAAGCAGTTTTTTGTTCATCCTAGGCAGGGGAGGCTGCTCAGACAGAAGTAGTGTCAGAAGAAAACAAAAGTCTGATCTGGACATTACTGAAGCAAGTGCGGCCAGGAATGGACTTATCCAAGGTTGTACTGCCTACGTTCATCTTGGAACCTCGTTCTTTCCTGGACAAGCTGTCTGATTACTACTACCATGCAGACTTTCTGTCTGAGTGAGTCAATCCTATATCTGGTTTTCCTTCTTTTCTTTTTTTAAACTAAAATGGGGTAACAGTGCACAGTGTACACTGGAAAGTTTAATCTGGTCTACTTAAACAACATCATAGAGTGCTTAGAGTTTGAATGTTTGCGTGATAATGTATCGGGCAGTCATCAGATATCCTTGCTCTCTGAAAGGTAACTGCCTGAGAGCTCATATGGTACATCTTGAAGTCTGGCCCCTCTAGTGATTTAATAGCAATTGTTGCAGACATTTCAGGTTTAGCTTTTGGAGACTGGTTAGAAGACTTCTCAAAATTAGTTTCATTTCCTTTCTCTAGGAGGCATATTCGAGATGGTAAAACAGTACCAGTTAACATTTTTAGTACAGTGTTAATTTCTATTCAGGTTTATAGTTGCCTGCTCAAATGTATCTAATAAAGACTGTAAATTAAAATGTTATTCAACTCTGAGTTCTGTACGTGAGTAGGCCGGTTCTCTAAAGTAGTAGCTTATAAATGGAAGAACTTCAGTGGGCGTGGAACAGGATTTAATGTTGCAAAGAACAGAGCAATTATGGAAATACCATTTCTGATTTTTCATTTGATTTCCGTTTTCAGACAATTATTTGAAAACTTTGGATCTGATGCAATCAGACTGAGATTTTTACAGTGCTGCAAATCACAAAACCTTTGTTTTAGTCAGCTCCTAGATTCGAGATATATCACAACGACTGCTAGCATGTTATAACTGAAACAATACTGATATTTGTTCTGTGTGTTCTTTTTGTTTCATAGAGCTGCTCTTGAAGAGAATGCTTACAACCGCATGAAGAAAGTAGTGAAGTGGTATTTGTCAGGATTCTACAAAAAGCCAAAGGTGTCCTCTCACACATTATTTTGTCTTTAATTTAGTCATTGTGTCTAGTTTCAGGGATTAGGGATGTGCTGGAGTAAGTTTTTATTTGTAAATTAGATTGTTATGCATTTTTTAAAAGCAAGGTTAAGTTTTCATTATTTACACAGAAGAATCATGGACCTTTTTGCTCCCTAGCCATGCTTAAAATAGAATATATTCAATTGTTTTTTTCCCTTGGTGTAGAAGTTGAACTAAACATTTTGTGATAATGTTGAGCTGGTTTCTGTTTACCATTCTTCAGTGATAACGTGCTGCAATTGGGGGATTAGTATTTCTACTGCTTCATTTAGCTTTACACTAAATGTTCTTTATAGTCATGTTGGTGGGAAACAGTATTGAAAGAAGTAAGTACTTACTACTTTCCTTCAGACAAAAGGTTTCTAATAGTTTTCCTACCAAAAAATCATATATTCTGTTGGTCCTTATGTGTAGCCTGCAATAGTTTAGCAGATATACTAAATCTATGCTGGTTTCCTTAGAATGAAGAGCAGAGTAACTGCATGTTCAAATGATGAAATCAAGTACAATGTACTTTAACATGTGTATTACGATTATATTTGTTGTGTCTTCAGTGACAGACTGATAAAGTATTTTTGTGAGTTCTGTACCTGCATTGTATGGTTAGTCTGTTCTATTTCTGTTTAGGGACTAAAAAAGCCGTACAATCCTATACTGGGTGAGACTTTCCGATGCATGTGGATTCATCCAAGGACGAATAGCAAGACTTTTTATATTGCGGAACAGGTAGCTGCAATAACTGGATCAAGTATTTTTTAAGAACAATAAATGCGTTGCATTTTTGTGCTAGCCAAGCGATTTGGTAGTTTCAGAAACTGTATTTAAATGTGTGAATAGTATCCTTAAAGCTCTCCTGGTGAGCATAGGTTTCCTACAGTTGTCTGTCTTAAGTGTGTCTTCCTAGAGACACAGAGAAAGGTGTTTCCAGCATTTCTGTTCTGTCTTCCTCCAGTAAAAGTCAGGTGCTGATTATCTTAACTCTTGAAATTCAGTGTTTGCTCGATCTTTAAAGATAAAGATTATACTTCACATTTCACTTATATTAACTGTGTTCTATTATGTGCAGCTTGAATTTTGCATTCTGTCATTATTAGCTCAACGGGTTTACTATATTGCATGTTCTTTTTTCTTTTTTTTTTTCTTTTTCAAATACCTGGGTTTTTTTTCAACAGGTGTCGCATCATCCTCCAATATCTGCCTTCTATGTTAGCAACCGCAAGGATGGTTTTTGCCTTAGTGGTAGCATTCTGGCCAAATCAAAATTCTACGGTAAATAATGGGTTTTTTTGGTTGTACTTCATTGAGGAATGTAAAATTGGTGCAAATGAGCTGAGTTTTGTGGATGAAAGCAAGCTGTTAGAAGAATCTGGGTTTTGATCATTGTATTATCCCTTCCTTACAAAGTTTTTGCTACTAGTCTTTGGAATTTTAATTTCTATTTTTGGAGTATTTTAATTTTTAATTGGAGATGCTGTGTATTATAGTGGCTTCACTAGACAGCATAGATTAGAATGTGAAATATACTGATGTTCTTCATTTTATTGCTTAGTTATTAGGAAATGTTGACTGTTGTCTTGCAGGATGAGAAACATGATTTTCTGTCTTTGCATTTCAGGGAATTCATTATCTGCCATACTAGATGGAGAAGGACGGCTAACATTCCTAAATAGGGGAGAAGATTATGTAATGACAATGCCATATGCTCATTGTAAAGGTAGTGGGGGTTTTTCATTCTCTAGATGGCCAAGTTATGAGAACAGAAGCTTATTATTCTAAATAGTTTGTTACTCTAAATTGTATACTGCGTTGGATTCAAGCTTGTCATCCGAGAAGATTATTCTGAACACTGGCAACACTGGTGGCTCTAGGCTTCCACATATTTTATCAGGAGAAAAATACATCTGTTGTTTAAGCAATGATCTGTTTTTTGGCACTATTTTTGTCATAAATAGTAAGAGTGTATATATATAGCTGTCCGTCATTACATGGCAGTAATATACTGTTTGAGTTGCCTTTTTTTTTTCTTAAAGAACAATTTTGAGCTTTTCCAATTTTTTCCTCTTGTAAACATAAAAGGCAATGTAGTATCCACAACTCACTGTGTGGTCTGAGTGTAAATCATGACCATTTGTCTTTAGTTTCATTATGAGAAGCAGTCAGTAGTTTGTAAAGCTTTCTGGAAGGTTAGTAGTAGTACAAAATACATTGCAGAATTGCTGATTTTTAAACTGTTACTTATTCAGGTTTATCTACCCATATATTCCCTGCCAGAATTCTTTTTCAGAAGCCTTACAGTCAGCAACTGTATTTTCTTCATTTGAGATGTATGAAAATCAACTAGCAGAGTTAGATAATTTGATGGTAGTTTGGTTGGCTCTTCTCTTTCCATTGTTTATGGATGTTTTTAATACTCTGTTGAATTGGGTTTTTATGGCTTTGACAAAAATAATATATACATACATTCAAGTCAGACAGGAAGAAGGAGAACTAGTGTGGCTAATAAGGTTGATAGAGCAGGAGAAAGATAGAAGAATATGCAGGGAAGGTGAATGTGCATGGTGAAATAAAATTCCTTTGCACGTGCATCCACTGTATGTCGGTGTTTCAAACACTGGATTGCAGGGGAAAGACAGTAATCATGGGAAAGAAACTGTTCTCAGCATTGGCAGCCTTGTACTTCTGAAAGTCTTTAGGGAGGTAATCAGTGTTGTCTTATACTGGTTGGCCATGGTTGTCTTCACCTGTGGTCTGACTGTACATACTGCTTCTGTTCAAGTGAATTTTTTCTTTGCTCTCTTTCTTGTAGAGTTACTTTCCTGTCTTAACCTCAAAAGCTTCCCTCCTCCAGTCATCTCCAATAAGACTAAATACCACCCTTGCTAGCACCAGAAGCATATGCTGCCAAAGATAGGTCTTAATAAACCGTTTTTCCTGCTTATCTGTAATTCACTTAGATCTTTCTGTTTCTCTTTGGGTTATCTTGTTTGGCAGAAAGATCATGCTTATCATTAGGAAAGGTCATCTGAATAAATGTTTTTTCCTCTGGCACAGTCATGTTTACTCTAGGAATTGTGCTCAAAGAATTAGGGGTTTTGACTTGTTCGGTTATAAACATTCGTTTTAGCTATTTTTTTCTCTTGCAGGAATTCTTTATGGCACAATGACCTTAGAGCTTGGGGGAACAGTCAACATCACGTGTGAGAAAACTGGCTACAGTGCAACAATTGAATTCAAACTCAAGGTTAGTAAATGCACAAGAAGAAGAATGAGCATAATGATAATTTAAAAAAAAAAAAATTACATCACTCCTTAGATATGATCTGATTTAATATGGAATTGTCTTTTTAGGAACTGAGGAATTTTCATTTTAACTGCTATGTATCCAGCTGTGTGTATCTAGCAAACAGTTTTGTTTGGTTGGTTTTTTTTAAAAGGAATTTTATTGTCATCTCTTTTCTTAATGTGTTCTTCTGGGTCCAGAAGTTTTGACTGAAACTTACAGTGCTGTCTTCATCACTGGTGATAACAGATGCAAACATATTGCTGGTTGTATGAGTCTTAAGAACAGCTCTAGTGAGGAAAAAGCAACAGTCTGTCTTATCTCCAGCAGTGGCAACTGTGTGTGTCTAGGAAAGTGTAAGAACAAGGGAAGTGTTTAGTGATCTGATCAGTGGTTCAGGTATTTAAGTATTGTTGTTAATATACCTTGGTGATTTTTAATTCTCTAAAAATGTTCAGGGTCTTTTTAAACTCCCGGAGTTTAGAAGTTTCTCTGCCTTTGAGGATTCAGATTCCCCTCTTCCATCCTGGGTAAATTTAGTTGCTCATGACACCTCAAATAAAGATGATGCAAAGGCTTTGGCTAACATTTATATCAGCCTAATGCCCAGTGCTAAGCAACGGTTTACATAGATTGTTTTTGGCAGCTGCGCATGCCGTAGGAGCACCTCCCCACTCACAAAAGCTAAACAAAGGTTTCTGAACTACTTAAAGTTGGCATGCCCTTCTGAAAAATACATTCGCCATCTTTGAGACAGAAACTGATTTAAAGCTGAACAAATAGTTGTTAAGAAGTGTGCACGTGGAGAGGGAAACCGTATTCAGTTGAAATTACAGGGGAAACATAAAGGTTAGGAGGCTGTGTTAATTCATGTTTTGCCTCATCAGCCCACAGGATGGAGACTATCAAAAAGGCTGAAGAAAATCCCTGGCAATCATTTTTGTTGTTGCTTCTGCAAGAGTTAATCTCTAGTAACAAATGGTCCTTGGCAAAGTGGTGAAATATGTGTAGCAAATGACTGTGTCCTCCAATATATCATTATGTCACTGTTCTCTGCGTTATTTTCCATTTTCTTTCCACATTTCTTAGACAATGCTTTTGCTCAGCAAATCTTTCAAGAAAATGCAGCATGAGAGAACAACTTAGGTTTTAGACTTGTTTGGGGGATGAAATAGGCAGAAGTTATAATACTAAAAGCCATCAGGGCTGTTTGCATCACATTTCATAAATTCACTTTTGTCCTTCATGCTAAACATAAATGCGAAAATAGTTTGCTATTAAAATAAACATGAAAGCATTTCTTTTTGTTTTGCAGCCTTTTTTGGGTAACAACGACAGTGTTAACCAAATATCAGGGAAAATTAAGCTTGGGAAAGAAGTTCTGGCTATTTTGGAGGGTCACTGGGTAAGTAGTGACTGGTGGTATTTTATAAATGCTGGCTGATAGTTGAGACAGGTGAGAATAGCGCTTAGTTACAAAAAATACTCAAGTTTAAACAAAAAAAAAAAGAGTTGATAAAATACCACTTTTATGGAAAGTATCTATTGTAGTTGGATAGTTCTCAAGAAAGTATAGAATCAACATAGTGTTATTTGTAACTGTTAAAAGGTGGAACAGTTGTGTATGTTTGAGTAGTTCATGAAGAAATTACATTTCAGCCTGTGAAGTGCTTTTAGCAAATGAGTTAGTACTAGGAAGAATTGTTATGGCACCAGCGTGAAATGTTTAAACTTGTTTCAGTTCTGGCGAGATGACACTGGCACCACTGGTTTTTGGACGTGGTAAAGGTTCCATTGCTTCTCTGTTCCAAGTCAGAACGAGCAGAGTGTGTGGAAATTGAATTTTAAAGTTAGCATATCTTACTATTCTTAACTACGTGCATCCAAAAGAAAATAAATTCTTGTTACAAAAAAAAATAATTGCTTATTCCTCCCTTTTATGTTATTTTGGCACTCCTTGAGACTATTACAATTAAGGTAACAGAATTATATATGTTACAGGACAGTGAAGTTACTATTAGTGACAAGAAGACAGATGTTTCGGAGACATTCTGGAACCCGACATCTGATATCAAGCAGCGTAGATTACCTAGATACACAGTGAAGTTTGAAGAGCAAGATGACTTTGAGTCAGAGAAGTAAGTTCACTTTAGAACCACATATAATTATTTTGACAATATAAAACTCATCATCTTCTCCAAATTATGAACAAATTATGATTTCTTTCTTTCCTGTGTTTGCTGTTATTGGCCTGTAAAACAAGAAAGCAACACCGTTTAAATACAAGATCATCCTTTACAAACCTTACAATCATGGAAAGTCTTGATAGAAACGTAGATAAAACATATATTACAACATGGTAATATTCTGTTTAGAGGTTGGTCCATTTACTTGGCCTATGATTAAGGAAACATTTGCAATTATTTCTGTCAACCAGATGGTAACTCTATATTGCTTGTTTGTCAGGCTTTGGCAGCAAGTGACACGAGCAATAAATAATAAAGACCAAACGGAAGCCACTCAAGAGAAATACGTTCTGGAAGAAGCTCAGAGAAAGAGTGCCAAAGAGAGGAAACTAAAGGGTGAAGAGTGGACGTGCAAACTGTTCGATCAGGATTCGGTCACAGGAGAATGGCACTACAAATATGCCGAGTGAGTCCTGAAGTGCTCGTAACAAAAACTGCTTGTTAAATGCTTGGTAGTGTTGCTGAGCCTCCTCCTGTGGTTTCAGGAGCAAAAGAACTCAGATAGCTGAGTTCAAACTCCTGAAATAGCAAAAGGCTACTTGCTATTCTTATTTAGGTATTTTAATTAAAATGCATGATTTTTTAGCCAAACTTGGTTGGCGCTTTTAGCGTTGAAAAAACAGTGATTGCTAATGCAGCAAACCATGTTTCATGTAACCATTGCAATGGGCTGCTTCTTTTTTACCTTTATGGTTATGTGCCTCTACAAATCTGTGCTATGTTCTTGAGTTTCTTGGGCATGGCACTTTGGGATGCATTGTGCTCCTTTCCCCCCGCCCCAAGACTGACCATAGCAGCTGCACAGATTTTCCCAGTGTGGAAAACAGCGGTACCTACAGGCATACCAATGAAATTAGAAAATCTTGTGTCTGGGAATCAGAAAAGCCTGTACTTAGTTGAACTGAGCGATTTAATTTGTTCTGTGTTGGAATAACTCTGACAGGAACAGGTTTGCAGCGGCGGTTAATGCTGGGGCCAGCTGAGCTGTCAAATAGGCCCTGCACACATAGGTGTCTGCGATCTCTTGGTGTGGTGATCTGGATCAGAAGATGAAGCTGTAGCTGTCTCCTCTCCCTGACTGCTGGGACGCATTCTGTGTTCTCACCAGTGCTTGCAAAAGTCAGCTTGGATCCGAGCCCTTTACGAGTGATGGCTTTCACAGAACACCCACGTTCTGCTGAGTCTTTTTCAATATGCAGCGTGATTCTATATTGCAGGGATTGTAAAAGTCAAATATCCAAAGGTGATGCACTCTGAGTTAAGTAATTCTGAAACCATGGGTGCTGGAGGTGTATTCCCATGGCTAAACCTGGCTACCCTTCACCTTTCTGTACAAGTGGGGCAGTGGCTGAAGTGTGTGTATGGGGAAGAATACAAGAATCCTGAGTACTCTTCATGTCTTCCCCAAATTTTTGGGAGAAGTTTCCTGGAACGAAGCAGGGATTCAGTGTATTTAGCAACTCTCAATGGATTTATTTTCCATGTATTTTCTTGTTTTTCTCTAAGTCTGTGCAGACTTTTACCACCCAAAACCTCCTGCGGCAGGGAATTCCCCAACTAGACTAAATGCTCTGTGAAACACCCACTCTTGGTTTGAACCTTTTAGTGGTGTTGATGCCTCTTTCTCTTGGAGGAACTGAATAGTCCAGCTGAATTGACTGCCTATACTGTTGGACCTGGGGTAAAACCATCAGGAGGAATACTGCACTTAAAATCTGTTAGGTTTTAAAGCTGCAGGGGATAGTCTGTCGGTTAATCTGTGTTATTTTTTGTCATCTTGAGGCCTTGTGGTTCAAGGATGTGCCACGGAAATTTTACTATGTGCTAGAACACAGTCTGCGCTCTCAGCAGTCCCTGGAAGAAACTTCTGTCTCCCTTTTACGCGTATAATGCCACCTCACCACCTGGTCCACGTAGGGAGCAGTCTTTTTACACTTACTGTGAAAGATGTGTTCAGTGAGCTGTGGCTTTTGTTAAAGTATCTGGATTATGGATTTAAGCATCTGGATTACAGATACAAAAGACCTTTGGGAGAGCAACGCCTAGTTCTTACCCCGTTACCTTACGTAACACTTAATTCAAGTCAGGTTAAGCCAAGATGTAAATGCAGGTCTATGTTCGCAACATCTGAAACAGCTACAGACGTTTTAAAAAGTATGCAGGAGGAGATGAAAGCAAATCCATGCATAATCTGCTCCCACTAAAGCTGCTCCCACTAAAGCTGTGCATTAGATCGATCCTCATGCAGCCGACTTGCAGTTTCTCTCCTGAAAAGGCAGTAATCAGCGGGGATGTCGGTCTTGGCCTGTGGCTGCTGCTTGTTCTCCAGTGAGCTTTTGCTTTTTGTTTTTTTTTTTTTTTTTAATTCTATACCAGCCTGTACTTGGAAAAACACTCTTAAAAATCAGAACAGGAAAACTGTGTGTAGCTCCTAGTGCTTCTTGAAACCAGTCTTGATTACCATTAGCCACTTTGGAGTGAAAGCAGGTTTGAGGTAATGGATTCTTAACCTCTCCTTCCTAGGCATCTTTTAAAGGGGGGGGGGGAACCCACAATGGAAAAAAAAGCAGTCCAAAATAATAATAATTTTTTAAACCTAAAATAACAACCGTACATTAAGCAAAAGACCTCTCCATGTTTGACAAATATGTATCATAGCCAGATAAATTCATAATGATGTGGTTGGTTAATACAATAGCTTGTAATCTTACCAGCTGGCTGAGGGTTTGACCTGGATGTGAAGTTTAGTTTGTGGCTGTCTTGGCCCTTCAGGCTAGGGCTGGGCTGTAGGTGGAAGATAGGATCACTTACGCCATGTCTGACTTCTGCATAAGGAGAGAGAGCTTTAACCTGTTCATACCGAGTAGTTTCTGAGCAAGAAAATATTTCTTATTTAAATTGCTGTGGTATTAATCAATCATATTCACTTTGTCTAGTACCAGACCGTGGGACCCTTTGAATGATATGATCCAATTTGAAAAAGATGGCACCATCCAAACAAAAGTTCGACATCGGACACCAATGGTATGTTCCTGTTCTGTCAGCGCGCGCAGCAAGATCCAGGGACTTGTGTATATTGCGTTCTGTGTATAAAGGTCATCAAAGCTTTGGGAGCGATGGGAAATGTGATTGTTATCCTACAAAAACGTAGCTTACCCAGTCCGTAGTCTTTCACTTCTGTGTTGCATCCTAAGCAGTAGAGATTGTATTGTATAGGAATATAAAATATGCAAACTTGAACTCAGCAGTTTAATGTGTATTTTCACTTAAATGGGAAGATGCACTAATTTCAGACTGCTTATATATCAAAAATTTTAACTTGGCCTTTTATTAGATATTGTGCATTTAACTATTAAAATGTGCTGCTTTGCTACAATTCTGGTTCTCTGGAAATAATTCAAAAGTTTATCAATTGTAGGTTAGTGTTCCAAAAATCAAGCGAAAGCCAGCCAGTCAGAAGAAAGGAGAGTGTGGTTTCTCATCCCCGGAGCCTGATAACCAGGATTCCTCTGGGAGTGAAGGTAGGAAAAGACACATTTGCATACAGAAATAATAAATGCATTTGATAGCGAAGCAAGAGTTCTGTAGTCACACATACTCCTCTTATCTCAATGTCTGTATGATGAAATAACACGCGCTTTAGATCACAGCTCTATCCAACGTGAAGCACATTCGGGAAAAACCAAAGGAGCAGAAGGGCTCGTGGTTTTAATTGTAAACTTCCCTGTCCTTTTAAACATCAGTAGGTAGTGTAGGTAGGCTTAGTGCTGCACATATTTAGGATCTGGGGGGAAAAAGTTGTGTTAGTAAACTATTTTCTTTCTCAAAACAAGATGAATTGTTGTCATTTGTAGATCAGTATGTTGCTAGAGGGCAGATTTTTGTGGTTGATAACGCTTGCAGAAATTAAACAGTACAGTGAGTGTTTTAAGATAATTCAAGCGCTTAACTTTCTGTCCTGCGCTATAGCTGACTCTGAAATAAAGCTCTAGTTTTCAATAGGAGCTTAGTTAGAAAACTTTCTCCTCCTTTTTGCAACTGGTTTAGTTTGTTGTTAGTACTTCGTTCCTTTTTTTGACTTAGCAGTCGCTTCTGTGGATTGCATCTGGCTTTTGTATCTTTCTAGCGCAACTTCTGAAGCATAATACAAGAATAAGGAAGAAAGGGGCAGACCTTGGTGAACTGCAGAGTGCCATTGAATCTATAAAGGAAACACAAGAAGACATCAAGAGGTGATACTAAATAAAATGCTTTAAAGTGGTTTAGAGAATACTAATTTTCTAGCTTTTTTTCCTTGCAGGCTGGTATATATTTCCGCTTTAGAGCCTTGATGTCTTTAGACTACCCTTCTTCCCAAATGTTGATTGTTCATTGATGTTTCATGATTATCCTCAAAAACTGCCTTCCGTAGGGAGCCCTAACATACTAGAAAATGCCAAATTGTCCAGATTGTAATTTACAGGATATTGTTTTCTTTCTACAGGGACATTATGGCTCTGCGAAACAGAGTCACTGCTAACTCGCCACCTGTGGACTACCATTTCTTGCAGTTCAAGCATTATGTCTTCATTTTACTCGTGGTTCTGCTACAGCTTATCATTAATTTCTTGTTCAAATAGGAAGTGTGAACAAGGGCCTTTCTGAACTGGAATGATCGAACTGTTAACTGGGACCATATTTTAAGTTGGACTGGAAATGATGCAATATTATCTAAAAGAGCCCTGTAGCAACAACTTACAGAACTTTGCCTCAGCGTCCATCGTTCAGAATCATACTCCCGTCTACCCAGTTGAAGTAAGAATTGTGTAAGTGCCAGTACACTCTTGCTCCTGGTGTGTGCCTCTGTCTCACAGACATACGACATCAGCCTTGTGTTTTATATTGCGTCATATGCTGTACTGATGAATCTTCACCGCAGAATAGATGAAGTTAAAAATTCAGAGGTCAGACCCTGTAGGTAGGATGTGATTCCTGTTATGGTAGAATGATAAATGAACACACGTTGTTACATTTAAACTTAACCTTTTTTGTAACAAAGGAACTTTTGAAGTAGCCAACGGTTTTTGTAAATGGCGTTGGGTGTTTGGAAGTAAACTTTTGTTTAAGGTCAAAGAAATACATTCTCACACAAAGATCCTGAGCGTTAGGAACTGGCAAGTAAAAAGCTGAAGTCTTTGGGAGTTCGGCAATGTAATGTCCTTGATTTATTTTGGAAGTATGAGGTTTTTATCCTGAATTACTATAGTGGCTTGTAAGCCAGCTGTTTTATTTTTATAGTTTTAAAACTTCAGATTCTTCATAAAAAACATTCCTGCATTTACTGTACAGACCATATTTTTAACAGTACAGCACCGAGGAAGGTACTGTCTTGGTCCACTCTCTCTCACAAATTGCAAATGTCAAGGATTTATGGTATGTTTGTAAGTCTTGATAAATCTACAGCTTTGAATTTACATTTGTGTGCGGCCCTGTCGCAGTAAGCAGACAGACTGCTGATGCCGGCGCTTTTCATTTTGGAACAAAATGTAAAGCAAAGGTGTGCTTAGTATGTCGCTTGAGTTGAACCTCCCAAAAGGCAAACGATGTAGAACAGAGTTCACTTGCAAATGAAAACGTGTGTTTACAAGGGGAAAGTCTTCAGAAGCTGTGGGATGGCTGACAACACATGTATCAAAACAAATGAGAGTGAAAACCTAAGTCTCTGTTAAATTCCTCCTTACTGCAGTATATACTACCTAGCCGAACACACGGATGCACCTATTCATTATGCTGTAGCCATACAAATTATTGTGAAGCTTAAGTTTCAATTTAAAACCAGGGTTTCTAACATTTTTATTTGAAGAAATATATGCATGTGTAGAACTTGTAAAATTCCAGGGGAAAAAAAAAATGTAGTGCCAGTGTTTATCTGGTGAATTCCGTACACCAGTCAAGCGTACCAAGTCAAAATGGGCTGTAGTGTTGTAAAGGCCCGCTCGGTAACCCCGGTGAGACAGCAGGAGGGTGAGCGGCGCAACGCAAAGGGCAGCCAGGCTTGTTTTCGGAGGATCCTCTCAGAAACCAAATCCATCCCAGGCAGCAGAACAGTTCAAAGCTCACTTTTGGCTTTCTGCTGTGGCCCGGTCACCCCTCTGCCTGGGGCAGCCTCCCCGACTCTCCAGCTGACCTACCTTTCTGCTCAGCATCAGTCACACCAGAGTTTCCTGAAATTACCATTTACTTGTTGTTTGTCAATCGAGCTCATGTGTTCCTGTGGCTGACACCTTCACACCCCTCCCCTTCTCTTTCACCTTTCCCCTTCTTTGGGCCTCAGCAATGTAAAAGTTTATTGCTTAAGCAGTCAACTTCAGCTGATTTCTTACAGCTTCATATTAGCATCGTTTGGTCTTGAATCGTTTTCTGGAAAGTAGTACCTTAACCAGAGTGATCTTGTATACGTGGGCAAGACCAAACTTGATTGGAGTTTGACTGTATGGACAGCTGATGAGGTAAAATCTGTGAATGTAGGAAGTCCCTCTGTAAAAGAAAAAACAAACCAACCAAACAACCAAACCAAAACAAAAAAAACCCAAACCTAAAAAAAAATAAATCCCTCAGTTAAGTCTCTAAACAGAGACTGAAGTTGTTAGCCATGTATAAAATGGCATAAAGAAAGCAGAATATTATAACATTCATTTAATGTTCTCAGCCTGGAATTTGGCCATTCATTATCGCATTCAGATGTCAAAGCTTCACCTCTAGGATCCATTACAAGCCTTTAAACATTCTCTGTACATGAGAGTAACACAAGAGGAAAGGAGTGAGAATTTGGGCAATAACTTCCATCCCCTAAAATAATACCCTGCTAAATTTGTGGTGCTGAAACTGTTGACTGATCGTTACAAGCTTTTCTCTCCCTTGTAAATAGTGATGTCCTTCTGCCCTTTCATTTTGTTTTTTTTTTAAGCACTTCTATTCAAGGTCAGTTAGTAACACGGTCTGGATGTATTTTTACACGGACTGCATGGTAGTAACTGTGGATTTGACCCAGGCAGCTGGACAATGTCGGACTAAACAGATACTCCACATCTGAAATTCACGCTCAGCTCAAGAGCGAGACAAAATGCCTGTGCTTGCTTTCCTTTTCAGCTTGCTTTTTAGAGTTTAATTCTGTTGTAAAAGTGGGTTTATTGAGGATCCAGGAAGGTAAAGGATATACAATGAAACTTTTTGAAAAGTAAAATTGCAGACTTCTGCTTGACTGTATGATCAGGTAACTTAAATTCAGAAAAGTACATCAGAAACCTACTAATTCCTGTTTTGCTGGGTTTTGTATGATGTTCCCTCATGTGACTAGAACAAAGAAATTACTTACCTAATTTTTACAGTACAGCTGGTCACAGGCCTGTGTGGAGCCTTTTCTTTAGCATATCCTCGTTGTCCTGTTTTACCATGATGTGTAGCTGACCTTGAATATTATGTACTTAAGACTGAGCTCTGCACATAGTTATAAAAATTGATTGTAGAGTTTGCAGGTGTTTGAGGGCTGTGGCCTCCTACTAGCTTTTAAAGTTTAAAACAGCATTTGTTTTCACATTTGATTTACACATCTTGTTTTGTTTGTTTTTCTTGTACAGGAAATATTTTCAGAATTTGTTGCCATGTGGTTGCTTTTTGTTTTGTTTTGTTTTGGTTTGGTTTTATATGCACTCTAAGCGTTTAATTTGCCATTTGCCTAGTTAGGTACATATGACCTAAAGTAAGAAAAAAGTAAAGGCGCCATGTGAAATGCAGCAAGTATCAGTTTCAGCCATAGATGATATTTCTTGCATTTCACGTGTTGATTCCTTTTAAATAGTTGACATTACTTAATAAGAGTATACCCTGGCTGTCGTCGTCGTCCCCCCTCCCTTAAATCTCATTAATTATTTGAAGGATTGTCCCATAAAATGTAGTGATGGTGGTTTCTTCCTTTTTTTGTTTGTTTGCTGCCATCCTGTGCCTTTGGGAATTACTTGGTTTTTTGCTAGACTGGTGTTTATGAAACCGACTTTGGATTCAATGTTACATGTAGTTTCTTAAAGGCTGTTACTTCACCACTGTTTGTGTAAATAACATATAACAAGGATTCTGTACATCTAAGTTTTAATTATTGTTATTTCAGGGGTATCCTCAAATCATGGAAAATTTAGCAGATATTCACGTGTTGTAAACAGTGCCTTCTTGCTGGGTTTCTTGCTGTTCCGAGACATGTAAAGATTTGTCAAGTTTGTGCCATATGTAACATCTGACCTTTTGTGAAGGCTTTTGTGTTTGAAAACCAACTTTCCTGCTTAGTTAGACTCGGGGTGGGCGGGGGGTGGGATCAAGTATTGAAACACATTG